ATCAACTCTGAGAACGGCTACTTGTACGCGCTGCGCTCTTTTGATTACGAGCAAATAAAAGAGTTCAGTTTTATGGTGCACGCCAAAGACTCCGGCGCGCCCGAGTTAACGGCCAACGCCACCGTTAATGTCATTATAGTGGACCAGAACGACAACGCCCCCTCTATAATCGCGCCTCTGGGCAAAAACGGCACCGCGAGGGAACATCTGCCCCGTTCAGCCGAGCCGGGATACCTGGTGACCCGTATTGTGGCCACGGATGCGGATGACGGTGAGAACGCGCGCCTGTCATACAGCATCCTCCGAGGAAACGAGCTCGGGATGTTCCGGATGGACTGGAGAACCGGTGAGCTACGTACCGCGCGCCGGGTATCCAGCAAACGGGACCCGCCGCACCCGTACGACCTGTTGATCGAGGTGCGCGACCACGGGCAGCCACCGCTGTCGTCCTCCGCGAGCATCAACGTAGTGCTCGTGGACAGCATTGTTGAGGGCCGGAGCGGTGACCGGGGGTCGGTCAAGTCCAAAGAGGGCTCGCTGGACCTCACACTCATTCTCATTATAGCGCTCGGCTCTGTGTCCTTCATCTTCCTACTCGCCATGATCGTGCTGGCTGTGCGCTGTCAAAAAGACAAGAAACTGAACATCTACACGTGCATGGCCGGAGACTCGTGCTGTCAGTGCTGCAGTCGCCAAGCGCGCGGGCGCAAGAAGAAGCTCAGTAAATCGGACATTATGCTCGTCCAGAGCACTAACGTGGCCAGCACCGCACAGGTGCCGGTGGAGGAGTCGGGCAGCTTCGGCTCGCACCACCAAAACCAGAACTACTGCTACCAGGTATGTCTGACACCGGAGTCTGCCAAAACCGACCTAATGTTCCTTAAACCGTGCAGCCCATCCCGGAGCACAGACACAGAGCACAACCCGTGCGGGGCAATCGTTACCGGATACGAGGGTCAGCAACCAGATATCATCTCAAACGGGAGCATTTTATCAAGCGAGGTGAAAACACATTTTATTACCTATCCAGACAACAATTTATCTTAATCCAGCATGAAATATCTACATCATCATCATCAATTAACATTATCGTATTAAATCTTAGGTCTTTATAACCTATATACTATATATTCATATAAAATTCAAATGAACTCATATGAAGACGTGTGTGTGTAACCTATATTGTTTTTGACAGTGTTAGTCAGTGTTTCAATTTATTGCTATCAAATTACACATTGTGAATTGTTGCTTTAAAATTCAAGTAAAATCAAAGTGGTGCCAAAGTTAAAATCTTCACCGATAACTTAACTGCATTTCAACATTAATTACTAATGCAGAAATGTGAGTCTCTGAAAACACAAAATTGAATAGAACTGACAGAAATTCTTGTGAGAAGTTCAGTGGATGGAAAAATCTCTCAGTATATGCACCTTAAGCAGCTATTCAGTGGTGATCTTTCAGCTTCCTGTGTTTGTAATGTCAGATTGTAATCATCTGCTTGCTTATGACTCACACAGTGCTTTTAAAGGTAGCTTGGGGCTGTAGTGCTATTTTCAGGCACTTTAATTACATACAGCACTTCAGGGTCAGTTACATATAAGGATGTAACCACATATTCAAGATTGGATAAGAACCAAATGTAAACATTTCAGAATTGATCAATGAAAATCCTGTACCGATTGACCAGTAATAGGAATATATGGGGGACATGAATATTGAGGGTGGTTACAAGCTGGTATAACGTATCTGCTCTGATACTACCATCTTCCTTTTTGCCTCAGAGACAAGCCATGTTATCTTAAGTGAGCCCCCCATCCGACAAGGTCTACCTTACTATCCCCTGGCACTCTCTGAAAGGGTGTAGCCCTGGAGTCAAATCTGAGTAGGGATGAGGGTTTAAGTATGCCAAGCACACAGTCGCTGGGTATCAGTGGAACAAAGGCGGTTCTATGGTTGAGGTGCTCTAGTGCATGGACAGAGCAGAACAGAGGCCTGACCAGTTTTAATGAAAAATGTAGAATATCAAATAAACTTAATCATTATCATCATCATCATTATTATTACTATTTATTATTATTGTTGTTGTTGTCGTTTAGACCAAGCACCAGAGAACTGAACTCAGCTACCTGGTGGATAGGCCCCGTCGTGTTAACAGGTGAGATGACTGAATAAATCCAATGTACAGACATACGCATACATTGTTTTTTTTTTTTTTTTTTTTTTTTTTTTAACAATTAAAACAACAACAACAACAAAAACTTTCATTTACTTTTTATAGTGTTTTACAAATGGAGGTTTTGGGAGATTTTGTCAGGTTTAGCTCACTTCTGGGTACAAACTTTCCAAAATATGGTTAAGGTTTTTTTTTTTTTTTACACATTTACTTACAGTAGCTATGTAAATGAGGACATTCCATAAACTTTCCATATACTGTTGTTTATATATACAGCTAGTTATAAATACTATAAACTAACCCTAACAAAAAACTGCATTTTTACAAAAAAAATCCTTTATTTACTTTATTTTTATATACCTATTTTACAAACGAGGATGTCCCCAAAGGAGGTCAGCTTTTTTTTGTCAGCTCACTTCTGAGTACAAAATTGTCCCCAAAATATGGTTACATAGAACACTCTCACACACTGAGATAAAGAAAGAGCAGTATAAATGATGTGGCCCCTTGCCAAAATTCCAATATCTGACTCAGCGTTGCATGTGTCATCGTAATGTTTGATACTACACAACACAAGTCTGATACAGAATTTGATATTGAAATTAATCAGCAGTCTAAACTATGCCCAAAGTGTTAAATAACCAAAACAATCAATACTTTTAATGGGAAAAAGCAGTATAAAGCTCAAATTACCTAATGACTACTAAACTGGTAAAATTCCCTTATAGTTCAGCATTTCAAGAGGCAGATATCGTCAGCTCTAAAGACAGCGGACATGGAGATAGTGAGCAGGGAGACAGCGACCATGACGCCACCAACCGGGGCCACACAGCAGGTGAGTTGATTACGAGTTTCTCACCTACTGTCGACCTCACAGTAGATTTGAAAGAAGCGTAGACGAGTGAAAAGCCCCTGGGGAATGAATGCTGAGGAGAAACATAGGCAGCGATAGACATTGGGAAATTGTTAGCATCTTGGCTTTGAAAGCAACGCGACAAGCCTTCAACCGATTCCAGCAGTGGATCAATATAGAGACTGCGTGGAAATTATACATCTGTCAACAGAGCTAAATGGATTTCTGTCAATGCCGCGAACGAGACCGGCTTGTCTGATGGACAGGCATTCTGAAGCATTTAATGAGTATTTGAAAGCTTCCACGGTAACGAACCCAAACAGCTGCCCACCACCCCAGCTACACCCCCCAAACACAATTATTTTTCCATTCATATCAAATGCCATAAACGTTTGAGTCAAGCATGACGAAATGGCAGTCATTCGTTGGAGACGAATTTGATTTTATTTTGTTTATTCTTTATTTATTTATATTCAATTTGATGAGCCTTTTTGACTTTCAAGTTCTATATTTCATTGCTGCTCGTTTATTGATCAAGGTGGAGCCTTATGGCTTCAACTGGATAAGGCTTTGACCTTTCTCTCCAAAGAATCACGACATTCAGCCTTTGGTTTGGCAAACAGTTAGATGATGGGTTGCCGGATATTACGTATGCGCCGCACACAATGGAATACAAATTCTTGAAAAGAGCATGGATTCGCATTTTAGGTAACTACAGTATGATAGTTTTTTTACTGTAGAAAGGTCTTTGATATGATCCTTTCTGGGGGAAATCACAGAAGGAGAAAGGGCAAGAGGGATTGAGATTTTTTGAAAACGTATTAGAGCATCAAAGGGGTAAAATGAGAAGATGTGTGTGTGTGTGTCCTTTCCTTTCCTGCTCTCGTCTGGGTGTGTTGGCAAGCTCGCAGTTTCTGCACTCCCATTTCAGTGCCTGTCTCTGCATAGCCAATTATCACAGCAAGGTTAAGATGAAGGCCTGGGACACTGACAGGGGTAGAACCACTGCATTAACAACCACTTACATACACACACTCGTTATCTCTTTCACACATCCCTATCTCACCTTCTCTTGTTCTTACAGTGTCAATTTGGAGACATCAGTCTAAATGAATAGAAGAGAAAGAAAAAGAAATGTTGTGACCCTCATGTTGTGTTGATATTGAATTTACAGCTCTTATGTTTAGTGTCCCAGTAATGAAAATATAAAAATAACAGGTAACATTTTGTTAGCATTAGTTATAGTTATATTAAAGGGGTGCTATTTTAAAGATCATTATTTTGTGTATTTGGTGTATATATAACAGAATATATTTGACATGCTTTAATGTTCAAAAAACACATTATTTTTCCGGTTGACTCTTAACTTTTATAAAGAATATCTCTTTGGATTTGAGACTTTAGTCTTTGCAACTTTACAGATATTCTTTATGCACCAAGAGCTTGTAACACTCCAAAGAGAAAGGAAAACTTGAAATCGCATCATATGACCCCTTTAATGTTAATTTCATAATTTTCTAACACATTATTAACATCAAAATATATATCTGTTAATTACATTTAATGGACATGAGCTAATATGAACCAACAATGAACAGTCGTACTTTTATTAACAAAGATGAATAAATACTGGTCATTGTTAGTAAATATTAGATAATGTATTAGCTAATGTAAAGTAATGGGACCTTATTGTAAAGTTTTACCAAATAATTTAGTAATTTCCAAATATTTACCTATTATCTTCTCTTCAAATTCTTTAATGTACATTTGACCTCATCAAAACCACAAACTATGCCTAGTATCCATTTCAGTAACACTGGTTTGGGTTTGGATTAATTTGACCTTTTCAAGACGCATATCTCTGTCCAATTTTTTCATGAAAATTAGAATAAAAGGTGTATGCACTGATGTAAGTAATGTGACATTTTAATGATACATTTTAAAATAGTTGACATTTTCTTTATAATTCTTATATGATCAGAAAAGCCTGGTACTTTAAAGTGAAGTATGTCTTTCAAGCTATTTAAATGGCCTTGGGGTCTCTCAGAAAAGCATGAGGGTAAAGGTAGAAGAGCTGGGGTCAGAGAAAAAGCACTTTTCCATGATTTAGACTGTTAGATCGGCATTTGTTTGCAAAGAGACAGAGGTGTGACAAATTGCACAATTAGATTAACACGAGCAAGCGATAGATTGATGATCTATAAATGAGGGATGTGTGGTGATGACGTTAATCAAATCACTCCTGTCCCTGTAATTTAATGCTATCAGACCCCAATCAGAGCAACTCCATTTGCTCTGCACGCGCGCACACGCACACAAACACACGCACACACACACGCACACACACACACACACACACACACACACACACACACACACACACTTTGTAGCTATAGTGAAAGCCAATGCTGAGGGAATAAACTGGAAAATACACACCCCCCCCCCCACACACACACACACACACACACACACACACACACACACACACACACACACACTTTGTAGCTATAGTGAAAGCCAATGCTGAGGGAATAAACTGGAAAATGTAGCTACAAGCTATTCATAATTTTAAGTAGTTCAACCAGTCAAGCTACCCTCTTGAAAAAAGTAGTAAGCTGCTGTATACAGCTAACTAACGAAAGGTAGCTAAATACTGAGTTATTATCAGGGAGCAATATCTTTTTAAATATATATCAGATGATATAATTTATTTACATTAAATACAATCAAATTACAATTAAAATACCAAACATGTACATTATGACATACAGTCGAAAATATGGTCATGAACTACAACATTTAGCATGTGTTGCTACACAAAAGAGAACAGAAAATACCATGCAACAACTCAAATGTATCAGTGGATTTTTTAAATGATTCATTTACATTATCCATCCAAACAGCTGTTATTCTTTGGATTATTGCCTCGCTCAGTATGGAGTTCTGTGTTCAATACAATGTGACAAAAAGCAGTCATGCAGTGTTTTGTCACACTACACCACTACTCATTAGAAAAAGTTTGTTACTGGAAAAGATACATAATTAAATGACTTCACATTACTGAAAAATAGTCAAGTTTGTAAAGTTAGTAGATTCACTCCCCAAGATTGGCGATAGCAGTGACCATGTAGGTGATTTCAATGTCTAGTAGTTGATTTTGAATGAAAACCCACCCTGATTGTTCTTCAAAACAATCTGACCAAAGTTTCTTCCCAACCCTAGCAAAAACTCTTGTCCTCAGCATGTGAGCTCAGGTCTCTGGTCAGCCTGACGACAGGTGTTCTGAAGGGAAATTCTGCTCATCAGGGCTTTGGCAGTGTTTTTCCTTTTTTGTTCTGATACTTTTGCACACCATTGATAAAAGATGTGATGAGGTCTCCAGAAGAGAAAATGCAAGAGAAGCGGAAAGAGACGAAAATAACACACACACAGTGGGATGCAGAGCACTTCCTGATGGAGAACAGCTTCTAGTTAGTCAGTGTGTTTGTACTCAGCGCAGCATCTCTTTTTTTTTCTAGATGTCTGTAGCCCCAGAGTCCAGCTTCTAGTCAGATCATTAATGTTTTCAATAAAGCTCCCAGCCGCACTGAGGATATCTAATATCTAATCGAATACAGGTCTGCAATTATAGGATTTCATGGGCAATTATGTAGATATTTTTCTTTCTTTCTTTCTTTCTTGGCCATGAAGTGCAGGTGTCAATCTATAGCATACAACCTGCTACACTAGTCATTGCAAGGATGTATTGTATTGCAGAATAATGGAATGAACCATGCAAATGCAGTTTGCTGAACCATATCACTGTTAGATTTTAAACACAATTATTTTGACAGCTCAAATTTCTCTTGATGGCTACAAAAAAATCATAAAATCCTTGAGGTCTACCACTTGCAATGCATAATGGAAGCTGCAAATTTCGACATTCAACTCAGATTGAACTATTTAATGACTGCATTCAAACTCTGTTTTCTAGATAATTTCAACCTTTTCAAGATTTAAATCCTGTCCAAATTGAAAATATCTGTTTTTCCTCCACAACCATTGCTGTTAACTCAGGGTCCTCTGAGAAATCTAATCCTGTTTGTATAGAAACATCTGTGATTGCGGTATATTACTTTTTCACAATGTTTCCCTTCAATTTTTGAGCTTTGAATACTACAGCTAAGTTTCTCTGTAACTTTATTAATGATTTAAATGTTATCATATATAAGCTTTTAATGGGTTGTAAATGGGAGTAAAAGCTACAGAAATCTCAATCCTGCCCAAATCAATACATGAAATCAAAGATGTTCTGTGTACACAATTGTGACAGTATTTAAAACTTAAAAATCCTGTCCAATTTGTTGCTTCAGTGTTCCAGCATTTGCATATATATCCTCCATCACTTCACAATCTTCACCAGAATTGTTCTAGTGACCAGGATATGATGGTTCAAATCTACATCAGGATATTATTCTACCCCGTGATTATGCTAAAACTGTTTTTGAAGCACTAGTATTTCCGTCAGGACATGCCAGTCTGGTAGTTTAATGTGTTATTCACAGGGTGTTTTTCCTACAAAAGCAGACCTCAGTCAGATCAGACGGTATCAGGTCCTACATGTTCTACACGAGTCTCTGCGTGTGACTATGATATCGATGTGAACGTCACGCTGTGAGCTTCCGTCTTCTCTCTTGGTGGGGATATTTAGAGGCCGCTGTTCTAATTACATTGAGTTTGATTGTATGCAGTCAGGTTTATCTGTGTACTTAATATTGATGATGTCACAATGGCCTTGGAGCCCTGCTTTAACAAGATTTATGCATCTGTGTACACCCGCATATCTCTGTCCATGTATATCACTCTGATGTAATGGAGAAATAAAAAAGTGGATAGGTTGTGGAAGTGATCTATGGATTTCACAACAGAGATGTGAGCCGAGTGTGGGTTCAGATGTTACATCTGTAAGATTAGAAGTACTGAGGAGCACGTAGGAAAGAAGA